GCTTTACGATCCCGTAGGACAAAGATGTTAGTATATGAGCCTGTACAAAAAATAAAAATGTGGGTATATGTGCGTAAAAGGTACAGTTAGTGATTAAACCATAAAATAGACAGACGAGTTCAATTTCACAACGTAGACCAAAGAACAATGTGAAAATGGATGTCAAAATGTCGATTATCAGTTATTTATTGGTTTTATTTTATTAAATTTTCTATAATAAAATCTGAACCATTTTATTTAATGTCAAATTTGAAGACTACAGGTCGGTGCTACAGGGAAAAACCAGACGTACTTTTTTTCACATTTCAGATTTCTATTCTATGTTATAGAACACGCGGATCTATTCTATGATCTACTTTATGTTATAGAGCACTTTTTAGAGCTATCGTATAGGGCAAAAAGTAGTTTTGTCATGAATAATAACACTTCAAAGTTTCGGGGTATTGGAAAAAAACCTGCTTTGCCTACGGATCCAGTGAAAGAAGCAGATAGGTACGTCACAAGTTTCACGGTAGACAGCTTTGGATTATTTAAAAATTATTATTAAACAATGCGTTTCAATAATAGAAAGCTTTTTTGTAAGAACAAACATTTGTGAATATCGAATATTATTATTTTTCTGAATGATCAAACGTTCAACAAGACATTAATGCATTGATATAACATAAAAATAGAAAGAGTAGTTTTGTTTCTTGTAAAAATATTAACAGGCAGGTTAAAAAAGTTCGCATTTCTTAAATGGTTATCTCTTCTCTCTCACACGCGGCAATATGCGATCAACGTATCGAATCTGGAAAGGGAAAAGGGAGAGTAGGGGTAGTGGGCTACCGCTGACGCTGGCAAACACAGATCACTGGATACTGGATCACTGCTTCACTGCCTCCAGACGTGTTATCCACGCCATTTGAGCCGTGTGTTTGTGCTTTTGACCGTTTGTAGTGACTAACATTGAAACTGAGTTCTCTGTCAGAGAATGAAGAAGGTGCAACGCTGCTGCCAAAAAACGAAAGAAAACCGGGCGGAAAAGTGAAGTAGGTAAAAAACTGGTATTATCAACTGATGAGGCTGGGGAATTTTGTCACTGTTCACGATATCGCCTTCAGTCATTTAACGCACTTCCTTCTCATAACGAACAAAATTCGTATCTTGCTGGATTGATCACAGTAAGGCAAAGGAGACCACGCACAGATGAAAATACTGCTCGTTTTCATACTGCTAGTTTTGCTTATCGCGTTCGTGTTAACGGACAAGACATCCCAGTTTGTTTTTTTGTTCATTATATGGAATAATGAAAAACAAACTAACGTATATCAAACAATCCCTTACAAAAACTGGAGAAGCCCAATATATGGTAGGGGAAAGCATAGTTCCAGACACAGGTAGTTACCAGATGCCACAACACAATTGATACGGGGTCACATCGGAAGTTTCAAGGGTCGACAAAGCCATTATAGTATTAAAAAACAAAAAAAATTACCTGCCTCCATGAACTGAATAAAAAATGTATTCTCTATTTCAAGAAAAAAATGTAAATGTTCACGTATCGTACGAAACGTACAGGTATATTTTTGTCCGGAGTTTACCATATCTTTAGGGTATCAGCACACAGATACTTGTGCAATATACGACGAATTCAAGGCACAGCTGAAGGTTATACAGCCTATGACGGACGCAGATAAAAGTTAACCACATTGAACCAACTTCATAAACAAAAGGCTGAGGCATTATATTCACGAAAAAGAGAAGCAAGTAGAACCAGCAGAGGAACAAAAAAAATGGAAGCTATTTGTATTTATTTTGCAAAGAATTTATCAATCCCAAATATTGCAACAAACGACGTGTACTATAAGCGCCAGCTATCGATGTAAACTTTCAATGTTTACTGTTCAATCAATTTTTTACTCTTATCACGAGGGCACGAGGGAATTGATAAAAAAGGTTCCAATGAAGTGGCATCGTTTTTATTACATTTTATTTAATAACTTTTTGGATGATGAGGTTGAGGAGTTAAAAATTTTTTGTGACTCAGCTGTAGGACGAAACAAAAATTTTACAATATTCCGATTCATACTGTTACGAACATGCATTCGGCGTGGCCCATGTAACGGTTGCATCTCGAAAGCGACTAGAAGCTTCCAGCGATGTATCGAGCACGGGAGACATCGATCCGTCAAACAGGCGAATTAGAGGTGGACTACTACAGAATATTCTAGTACATAAAAACTTTATATAAACTCACGGACCCATCGAGTAAGAACCATTGAAGAAGGCGACGAACCAAACGATGAACGTCTGGAAGAAACGTTACGAAAAATGGTTCGTAACACGATACCGAAGAGACACGAGCCCAGATGTTTTAATTGTGATTGCGTAGGTCACATTCGCCGTAATTGCCATTTTGCCATTTTATTATTTAATGTTAAATTTTTATTGCCGTACTTATTCGCTATTTTTTTGAATTTGCTTTTTCTTGTGTATCAAACATACTATTTTAATATACATTATTTTGCCTATTTAATCATTTACTATTGTTATTTTGAACTTACGCTACAATGGATGATTGTGATGTTGCTACGAAGCATCTTCCTCTTTATTGGTCTATTTTCCATTCTATTGTAGAATAGTTTTGTATGAATCGGCGGTATCATAAAGTTATTTCTAGAAAACGGCGGTGCTGATGCACATTTTTCGGTGAAGCAAGTTCGGTTATGGCGCTAGTTTCCTCCAGATCGGTTTTATTCCTTCGTTCCAACAATACACTCCAAGTATCTGAGTCTTGGCTAAAAAAATATGCATTTTTCACAGTTTAATGGTAATCTAGGCTCTCTCAGTACTCAAAAAACTTCTTGTAAGTGGCTTTTTCCAGGTACGCTAAATGCTGTTACTGGGCAGCTTGCCTCTTTCAGGAATATTTGGAATTATCTTTGTTTTAAAGCTAGGGTGAAATAAAGTTTGCTTCTTTAAGTCTATCCAGAATTTTCGAATATTTCCATGGATTTTTCTAAATTTTACAGTTATAACCATAAAAACGTGTTTTCTTCTGTGACCGTATTTTTTGAGGTTGTACGTTTCCGTCCCGTTTTTTTTGAAGATTTTGATTTTCTCTGATCCTTTGGAAGTATTGACTTTTGGGATCGTTCCTTTCAGTTCTTCGTGATCTTTGAACAAGCCTCTTAGTCTTGAACGCAATTTTTCGACGGATCCTTCAGAATCTAAGCCGATCCTTTTGACTTTATGCTGTAATTCCTCTTTGGACAGACCAAAAACTTACCAGTCGTGGTTCCACCTACTAAGTCTGTGTTTGTCGCTGCTGGATGAAGCGACATTTTACTTTTACTCAGACGCCAATTAGTGACGGTTAGCTCTACTAGACACCAGACTTAATAGAATTTGTTCTACCAGTTCATTTTGCTGAATATATGTTCTAGAGTTAAGTGAATAGCTTTGGTGATATTGCGTCTCCTTGTCGGACAACTCTGGTAGTGGGTAATTCTGGAATGTTTTCATAAATTTTGACCTTAGCTTTTGCTCGTCTGTATATATTTTAGTCTCTTTGTACGGGTTGTCAATGACTTGATTGGTCAAATCTTCTGTTACTGCCTTGGGATATAGAATCGAAAGCCCTCTCAAACTCTATGAATGTTAATGCTAGCAGTATTTCATATTCTTTTGCTCTACTCATTAGTTCTCGACGCTTGGATATTATCCAGGGTACTGAATCCACTTCTGACGTCAGCTTGCTCTCTTGGCTGTGCAGCATCTAATGCATTTTTGTTAATCTGTTCTTTATAATCTTTGTGAATATCTTGTCATATATGACAGCTTTATGTCATATCTTATGTGTTAATATATGATTGGTATTAAACTATAGGTCTGTAGTTTTTTATATTCTTTTTGCTACCTCTCTTATGAATGAGAATGATGTTTGCTGTATGCCAATGCCCTGGTATGTATCGTAATCTTAGGCAGTTCATAAATATGCCTGCTAAGATTGATAAACGTTTTATGGCATTCTTCTTCTCAGGTAACTGTAGCTTATTCCGTGGTTATTGTTTATTGTTGCCTTGGAAACCATCAGAATGAGGGCCTTCTAACTCTAATTTCACAAATGGGTCGCATTGCTCCTTTTCTAACTTGGCTGCACCGTACTGAAGACGACCAATAGTTAGAAATACATATATATGGTTGCCTCCCATCAATATACCTATTTTTGTTTTCCTGTTTTGCAAAACATGCAATTACATTTTACTTTTATTATTCACTCGCATTAACCTTTTCTTTTTGTTTTAAACATTTAACATTCTTTCCTCAGACAGCTGTAGCTTCTGAGGAAAGGAATGAAACCAGTCTTCTAACTCTAATGCCACAATTGGTATGCATTACTCATTTTACTTGGAGACATGCCATTACACTGTAGACATTATTGTCTACAGTGACCAGTGACTAGTGAGCCTAGGTATTGTATATAAAATGTTTAATACTTTCAATGTTCTATGGTTAGATTCTGTAAGTCTCTCATTCCCTTTGATTTCCTAACATTCATGTATTTCTTTTTATTTTATTTATTTGTAGGTCACTATTTTGTGCCACACTTTCTATTGTAATAAATACTTCGATCATGTCTCTTTTGCTATATCAATGTCATCTGCAAAGACTAGCATTTATACATGTCTACAGAAAAATAACTAGGTCACCAATATAATGTTTATTCTTAAAAATAATTACAGATTATCATCACAATATTACAAAGTATAATTCATATTAAAGGACAAAATGACTAGAAATTATAAATTTCTTATAAATATAGTAGAAAAATTAAATTAATCTAACAAGAATGTTTACAAGGTTTTACTTTTTAATCACACCATTATTTAACAGCAGCACTTAATGTATTTCTGTCATTGGTTATTGAGCAAATGAATGGATTGTAAGATGTTAGAAAGAAAACTTCTTTTCCTTTGGCCTTTCTCAGAAACTTTTAGCACACCAACTCTAAAAGTATGCCAATCAATTGGCTCACCAGTGGCATACAATCTCTGTGATGGTTATGAGATAGAGAGATATTATTTAAAATACTGCTGAAACAGACTTGAAACACTCCCTGTGGTAAAATCTAGCACCTATCATTTTTTACAGACGGATTTAAGTCAATAAAATATTGATGAGACATGGCATCATCTGCAGATATCCTACCCATGGGATTGCACACCAATAATTTTTGAAGGAGGTCTCGTCCTCTATTACCTAATTTTGGCACCACCTAAAAAACATTGGATATAATTCATTTACTTTAACAAATTTGTAATTAAACATATAACAATAATTATATCACCAGTCAGAATGCACAACAAAATATTTATTTGTAGTTAAACTATTTCATAAATAATAAAAATTTAATTATGTAGATTATTTACTTATTAAAAAATAAGTAAATAAAATTTATGTAGATAAATCAAAACAATGTAAATTTGTTCATAAACTGTTCATAAAATTGACTAACCTGTGACATACTCATATTAGGTTGATAAATAGGGAATGGTTTATAATCCGGAAGTTGGGACATACCGCTCCAAGTATCTTCTGTGGGAGTACCTAATAATTTAAATATTCTCCTAAGCTGATCATCTACATCTGATCCAGGAAATAGAGGCCTTCCTAAAAATACAATGTATTTGTAAAATGGTGGAAATGATTTAGTCATACAATCCATTAGAATTTAGGTTATTCTAGAAACAGATATTAATTGTATTTTATTTGAGTCATGAAAAATATAAAAATACCCACCAGCATTAGCTAATTCTGCAAAAATACAACCTGCAGACCACATATCAATAGAAGTAGTATAAAGTTTTGCTCCATATAAAACATCTGGTGGTCTATACCACAACGTGACTACCTCAGCAGAATAACATTTTACTGGAATACCAAATGCTCTGGCTAAACCAAAATCAGCAAGTTTTAGTTCACCATTCTTGTTTATTAATAAATTTTGGGGTTTTAAGTCTCTGTGTAGAACATTATGGCTGTGGCAAAATGCTAGACCTCTTAGTAATTGGTACATAAAAGATTTCACTACATCCAAGTCAATATCACCATTTAAACTATCAAAATATTTTTTTAAATCTTGGTCACAGTGTTCAAAAACAAGTGTCAGTTTTTTATCACTATGCAGTACATCATATAGCCTTACTATATTTTTATGTTTTAGCTCTTTTAACAAACATATTTCTCGTAGGGCAGAGGAAGGAACACCTTCATCATCGTCGTCAAGCCTTACTCTTTTTAAAGCAACTATTTCTAGGCTTTCTCTATTTTTGGCTTTAAATACAGTTCCATATGTACCTTCACCTATTTTTTCAAGTTTCTCGTATTTTTGCATGGTATCAAAATATAAACCAGTCTAATTTTTTAAAGATTTTATAGTTTGAGCTTTGAGTTGAGCTTGAGCTCAATGTTATGTTTATATTTATATTGTAATTGTGTTGGTTAGAACTGGTTAGAACATACATGACATGAATTTATGTCAATAAATAAATAAATGTGTGATAGTATCTCTTTTTATTGTACTGCGTTAACAGGGACAACATAAATGATAGTACAAAATTTCACATATGTCTTATGTCGTGACAGTGGATGTCGGATGTCATACGCCATCGACTGATTATAGTAGATGTAGACTGCTAATAAATAAAACAAAAATGGGTATTTTAATTTTAATATCAACTTTCAAGAAATAGGTTGTAATTAAACGATTTCATTCTTCAGACAATGAAAAAGAGTTCTCTAGTATCACAGAATAAATAACAATTGTTTTATTATTCCGTGCTATTATCATACTTTGAGCACAGAATAAGAAACAGTTGTTTATTATTCTGTGGTTTTATGTGCTATGTGTTCTGTAATTTAAAACACAGACCAAGTCTTTGATCCAATTACTATTGAGCACGTGTAATTATGCAATTTAACATAAATGTTATATTATAAATAAAGTGGATAATTTTAAAATAAATTGTATTACTTTTAGAACCACATTTACTTAATTTTTTTGCTTTTTGCATAAATTAAAACTTTGGTCATAATTTATGCTGATTTCATCCACTAGCTTTTAAATTTAAAAAACCACTCGTACTAGTATATTCCATGAATATACTTGTACTATTCCATGAATAGACTTTACTATTGGTTTGCATTTTTAACAGAATTTATATTTAATTAAATTTATGGACTTAATCCCTAAAAAATTAGACATGTCATAAGAAAGTAGTTTCAGAACCTTATAGAATTTATATTTCTTATAATAATTTAATTGGTATGTATTAATGATTTATTTGATTATAAAATTCAATTTTAGTGTAACAGTTTCCTTTTTTATCAACTGAAATAACACTTGCTTCCTGCCAATTGTCAAATGTATCAAATTATCAAAAGGCTACGTCATTTTGTGTCAGAATAACGATCGTCATCTTTGTGCTTCGAGTGAAAAACTAAAATCATATAAGAGTTAATTTCTATTGTGAACTAATTTTTCAAAAGTTTCTACATTTAGTACATATTCATTAATAAAAAATGGCCGAAAACAAAAAGTGAGTATATTTTTTTATATATCTATTTAAACTACCGGTTTACTTTGATTTGGAATATAAAATGTACATTGTCATCATGGTGGAGTATAACATTTTATTATATTTTCAAGATATTGGTAATTAAACTTAAATAAAACATTTTTGAATAAAAGACAATTGAACGAATTAAAATATAAGATATTTGTGCTTCGATAAAAAATGTATAAAATAGGTTAGTGAATGTTCTAGAATAGTTATGAATATTTTGATTTACAGTCCAGAGGATTTGGCCACCGCAATTCTCCGTAAGAAAGATCGTCCAAATAGACTTTTGGTTGAAGAAGCAGTTAACGATGATAATTCCGTGGTTGCTTTGTCACAAGCAAAAATGGATGAACTACAACTTTTCAGAGGAGACACAGTCTTATTGAAGGGCAAGCGAAGGAAAGAAACTGTTTGTATAGTATTATCTGACGACACATGTAGCGACGAAAAAATTCGTATGAATAGAAATGTTAGAAATAATTTAAGAGTTAGGCTATCAGATGTAGTTTCTATCCAAGCTTGCCCTGATGTAAAGTATGGCAAGAGAATTCATGTACTTCCCATAGATGATACAGTGGAAGGACTTACAGGGTAAGATAGTATCTTTTTATTTTGTCTTCTAGACATATTTCTTATGATTGATGCATTCTAGTTTTTATATTAAAAGGAATAAAAAATAGTCACAATGCCCAATACAATATCCTAAATTATACTGCCATTTTTAAAAAATTGTAAGTCTACAGGGTTCTTTGCTAGTTTGCTTTTATTAAATGCTTTCCTATTAAAAAATAGAATTTTTGAAGAAACAGTAGGATAATCTTCTGATTACCTACTAGTGACATTTACGAATTTTTTTTTCATAGATCATTTTGCCAAGTTCTCTGTATAAATTTGGAAATGTGTTATTTTTTATATCATAATCTTTTGTCTATAGGATTATGCTGTACATGATTTATTCCAAGTTATTTGGTTGGAACTATTGTTTCAAATTAAGATAGACATATTTTTAATGTGTTAACATTGCTTTTCTTCAGTTTTTTAGTTCTTCATAGTGTAGTAGTAAGTATTTTCCAGAATTTGTTGTATTAAATATTACCTATAATCAGATTGAGAGAAAATACTATGTAAAATCATTAAAACTAGTAACAATTTTTGTTTTTTAAACAAAACCAAAGAACATCAAAGTTTGGTTATAGAAACGCATATTTGTTTTATTAGAACAAATATAAGAAGAGCATTGAATAGGACAGTCAATGTAAGTTAAAAGCAAACAGAGATGAAGAGGACAGAATAGTGTAATGGAGCAGGAGTAACTGTACTTAAAATGAAGACTTAACTGTTTTATTAGTTTAAAAATTTTAATGTAATCTTTTTACACTGCTTCTGTGGAAGTGTATCTACTTATTTGGCAAAGGGTAGTCTACTATGTATTTTTTAATATTTTTATTGGTGCCATTTCTAGTGTTCTTGACACTTGACGCTACTTTAACAAGCTTTGTATGTATATTTCTTTATTTTATAATCCTGTTATGTCAAAAAACTTAATGTTGTGACTTAAGTATACCAGAGCTTTTTCAAACATGTTATAGTATCACTACAGTGGCTTAATGTAGATAGATAGATAATATGACACATACGGAACTTTATACTTGTGTTGTTCTGAAGCTATTTTCTTGTGGCATTGTAAATTAATTACTATTTATAACTGGGAATAAGCCACAATTAAAGATAAAAATACGTTTATTGACGTTTCAATTTCCAATTCGGAAATCGTTCTCAAAATACAAACAGTAAATTAAACAAATTTTGTTTTTTGTTACATAGTGAAAAAATTCTTCTAATAATTTAATTTTATCTGACTCATTTATATTGACAATTCAGACATACATTATGCATTTTAAAGTAGACGACTTTAAAATGATATTGTCAATATTGTTAATATTGTTGAGTTAATTATTTATAATTTACTATGGAATCACTAACAGGAGAATTTTACTGTCATCATGTCATGTGTTTGTCTTTTTAAAGACGAATTACATGGTATGATTTTTTCTGACGGATATTCTCAAGTTAAAGTTGATTTCATGTAATCGAATGAACTATCTTATAAGTAAAGTCGTCCCAGGAGCGCAACTCAACAATATTGACAATATCATTTTAAAGTCGTCTACTTTAAAATGCATAATGTATGTCTGAATTGTCAATATAAATGAGTCAGATAAAATTAAATTATTAGAAGAATTTTTTCACTATGTAACAAAAAACAAAATTTGTTTAATTTACTGTTTGTATTTTGAGAACGATTTCCGAATTGGAAATTGAAACGTCAATAAACGTATTTTTATCTTTAATTGTGGCTTATTCCCAGTTATAAATAGTAATTAATTTATACTTGTGGAAATATAAAATATTGTAGAATATCAAAAGTTCCAATTAATCTATGAAAATAACTTTCAAATACATATTTTTTGTTTTTATTGACATTGTATGACATATTCTTGGTTAGAAAAGCAATAATAATGAAACTGCACAAAAACAACCAGAATAAATTACACAAAATATAAAAAACAAATGTTATACTTTAACACTATTTTATCACTGTTTTACTCAATATCAACATGGTTTTACTAATACTACATAATGCTTACATATGCCTAATGTCTTGTAGAAACATACTTGTGTTATAAAATTGTATGATTAGAACAGGCATCTTGAGAGTTTCTCCATCTACATTGTATATTTTATTGTAAATGCTTAAAACACAGACATAAGGCACATATTAACCATATCAAATTTTTGCCACCTAAAGTTCGCAAAGGCCTCAATTATAGAGCACTGTTCTTGACTAGCAGGATTTACTAGAGATTAAGTCTTTCTTTCTACCTGTCTATTTCTTTTCTATTTAGATATATGTGTATTTTTCATTCTCTTAATAGTTATATGGAAGACAAAAGAAGCTACTGTCAACAATTGACACTTTTTTTATAAGAATATTACTGTTTTGTACTGTTTTTGTATGGATTTGTTGCAGCTTCTTACTTGTAGTCTAGTTTTCATCTCAATACCCACTCTTTTGATTAGCAGCTGCCAAATTAGTTTCTTCACAGTAAATTGCTTTGAACCCATCTCATTCTTGTCAGCTTGTATTTTCTGAACATTTTCAGGTGCCTCATGCTTTTTTCTTTACAATGTAAAAGCCTTATTTAAAGTAAACCTGTTATTGTCAGAAGAACCAACCATAGAAAGGGAGTGTTAAACCTATGTTCTTCAGTTGTCCTGATTATTTGGTAACTCTTCGATTAAGCAATTGTTTGGTCAAACATATTTCCATGACTTAAATAAATGTTTTTTCTGCATTTATAATATTATCAAGCTTTTTTAATTCCTCCTAAATGTCTTGTGCTGCATTTTAATGGTTTTTATTAAATTCTATCAAGATCAAGACTTTATCAAGGTAATAGTATTTTTTTTTATTAAAATATAAAAACATTTTTATTAAAACCAAATATAATATAGATTAGCCATGATTATGTCTTGCTGGAAAAATATGTAGGGCTTTAAAATTAATCAACAGTCTCTAAAATATATAAAGAGGGGAGCATTAAAATCCTGTGGTTTTTGAAGTAGGTTGTGCAATGTGTTCTTCTGAGCCCTAAAAGAACTGTATTGTTTTTTTTTTAATTTAAAAATAACATCAGATTGGCAACTGTACTAGAACCCAAAAAAAAAGACCATATTTAAGATGAGACTCAAACAAAGAAAAATATGTTATTTTGGAAGATGCTAAATTGATTTCGTTCAAAACAGATCATATTGCATATCATACTGAGGACTTTCTTACTTAACAAATCGGTATGAAGGGACCATTTAAGGTTGCATTTAAGGGTTGAAGAACTCCTTTATAGCATAATGCTACTGTCTTATCCACATTAAAAGAGAGTAAATTAGAGTTGGACCAGGTTTGTATTTAAAGCAGATCAGAAGTTATTGTTGCATGAAGAGTTGCAATATTAGAGTTCCTCCAGGTGGTCCTGGTATCATCAGCAAAAAGAAAAAAAATTTATCAATTTTTAAGTTAGTGATGTCATTTATAAAGATAAGGAAAATTAGAGGACCCAATATTGATGGCACTGAGACCCTTGTGGTACTCCACATACAATGCTTTTGTGAATAGTCAGTATCATTTACTGTAACTAGTTGTTTCCTATTTCTCAAGTAAAATTGAAATCAATTCAAATAAATACCTCAAATTCTGTAGAAATTAGTTTTTTTATCAAGATCTCTTGATTTACACATCAAAAGCTGTAGTCATATAATCATAAAAGACAGAAAAACAGTGGCATTGTAAAGATTATTGTTTAGTATGTACTTGGTAGAACCTTATGTCAAATCATATTTTAAACTAATCAAGCCAGCTGTCACTAGCCCAGAGGTTGTCTGGTAAATTTTACCATAAACGATTTCCTATTTTTATTTTTAAAATGTCATCTGGTAATTGAGGTCCTGTTTAGTTGTTGTTGAAACCAAGCATATAATACTTCAACATTTAACAAAAAACCATTCTTTAAAATTCCTTTGTTTTCTGGTTCACTTTGTATTTTATAAACTTTTTAATTTTGTCTTTTTGTTTTGCTGTATCATAATATAGTAACACTCTATTCTGTAAATCACTATAAACAATGCAGATGTTTCACCAGCTCCTTTAATTAAACTGTGTTCCATTTATTATTTAAGTTATTATGATGTGCTTGTGTTTGTTTATAGTCAATATTACCATTAAACAAAAATAGATCACAAAATAACACAGATAATAAATAAAGTTAATACATATATAGATAACAATTATCACATTTTTTAATGTTGATCAAAGCTTTTTATGAAAAGAGAACATATTATCTTAATACTCATTCATTATGTGAAGTACACAGAAAAAATTTTTCTAGGTATTTCCCCACTGCTGCAATTGATCATATGTTACATTGTGGATATCAAAATATTTCATGTTTACTGAAATTGTCATTTTAACAAGTTTCAGACTATCTTTCTAATTTATGTCCCATGTATCATAAAAAATTGCCGTTTTTAGCATCTTTATCATATTCTTTTCATACTTTTTACTGTATTTTAATATGATTTATACCTCATCTATGATTCGCTAAATTCTGTTCTATTCTATCACTCCCGGCTGTCTTGTTCTTAATGTTTTGTAAATTATTTTATAAGGCTGGGATTTTATTAATTGTTAGATTCTTCTTGAACAATAGAATTCCATAAAAGCCAATGGTTTCAAAGTTCTATCTACTGTTCAAAACACACAAGAAACCATTTTATCCTTCTTAGGTGTTTTATTAAAATAAATTAACTATTTGTCTTTACATATTATTAGGAATTACTAAAAGAACACTAATATGGAAAACAATAGTTTTATTTGTAATAATAGTAATAATATAACTGCTTTTATAAAATACTATTTTTTCCTATGTAAAGTAAACTAGAATTGCTTTTCAGCCAGCAGATTATTTTTTTGATATTTTTCTCCATGCCAAAATAAAAAATTGTTGGACCATGCAATAAAAATAGAAATTAAGATT